AACTGTAAATACGTATTATAATTTTTGTTGTATATGATTGATTACCATAATGTACCCAACCGCCCCCCCCAAAAAAAAAAAATTCCACTACCTATATATGTCATAAAACCCCATTCACCACGCCACTGGTCATTATAAGTAATTTCCGTAGCAGTATTATAATTTAATTTGCGAAAAGCTGTTTGTTATAATAATTGTGACTGATAGTCAGTGTTGGGTAGTAACATAATGAAAGTAATGCGTTACTATAACGGCGTTACTTTGTCTGTAACTCGTTACGTAATTTCATTAGAATTATTTCCAAGTAACGAAAATGTAATGTGAATTACTTTTGAAAAGTAATGTCTATAGATATTATATATTATATAATATCTATGTATATTTAATTTTAACTCGCCACAATTTAGTTTTCAATGATTTTGATATTTGAAATGTCTAATTGCACCGTAAAAATCACAAAAACAAATTAAATTAAATTAAATTAATTATTTAATTTGATTCCTTTAAATAGGTTTCCTATGATAATAGCTTGTGTGGAAGACTAAGTTTTGTATTATACAGGTTTTATAAAGAATTTTCTTGTTCAATTTGCCTGTTGCCAAGAAATTATTTTTTTTTTTTTTAACGAGGAAGTAATGAGTTACTTTTCTATTAGAAAAGTTAAGTAATTTCATTACAATTTTATTTGAGTAACGAATAAACTATAAAGTAACTTAATTACATTCATCTCTTGGTAACGAGTAAAGTAAATTAATTACTTTTTAAAAGTAACTTACCCAACACTGCTGATAGTCATATTACCAACTAAGCTTCGTGATGTGTCACAATTATATCAGAAGATAAGGATACGGTTGTGATTAAGCTAACGCAACAAAAAATTTAGTAATTAACTAATTAAGTAAAATAATTAAATTAATTTGTTACTGTTGTTACTGAGTATATTTTTTTAGCTGTATTTGTGTAATTTTCACCAAAATTGACCCAAGGTTGACCTACAAATACTCAAACAAAATGTGTTTCTAACTTGCACCACCTCAGGTAGTAAAAATATAAATTTTAATTTGCATCAAAGTTCAAATCGATTATTCTTTCGTATACGTTCTGACTGTTTAGAGTACCTATCTGATATTGACAGTGGTCGAATAGTGGCTCAAAATAAGTGGAGGGATGGAAAATGTAAATTTATGCCAACCCCGTATCTTCCCACTTTGACCACTGTATGTTGAAATATGAGATAATAACACATTAACACAGAATATACCGTTTTAGTTTAATTTTACTATCCAGTTCATTCTATTCTACGGTAGGTATTATTGGTAGGGCAGTATTGATTTTAAAGTATCCTATGATAACAATATTAATATAATTATATTAGGTATTAAAACATATATATTTTCTCTAAATTATATATTATAAAAGGATAAATTTACTGGCTACAATTTGGCATACAGATATAGCTATTATGACGTAGGCGTCCGCTAAGAAAGGATTTTTGGAAATTCAACCCCTCAAGAGGAAAATAAGTGGTTGTAAGAATACAACAGTGACGCTATCTATCCAGAAAAATCAAATTTAAATATATAACATTGGCGCTAAAATACAAAACGTACGAACTTGATATTTAGAATAGTGGTTACTTTAATTATCTAGATGTGCAATAAGAAAGGATTTTCCGTTATTCGCATTATAAACAAATGAAACTTTTATCTTGACATCTTGTTTATAAATGGTTGCCATTGGTTGCAGATTATAATAGTAATCGTAGAAATTAGTATTATTATTTTTTGTTTGTATATAAATGGTTGTCATGCTTACTCGGGCAGATTAGGTACATGCGCATGCATCAAATTTTTGTGTTTACGGTCTCGAATAAAGAAACTATATCTTAAAACCAGACGCATTTGTGTAGGTTATATTATATATATATATAATATACACAATTGAATTTGACGAAAATCTCTGGTATTGTTTTTAGAGATGTCAGAAAAGTTTAAAGAGTATAAGTTAAGTTATGTTGTTTAAACCATGTTAAAATATATTATACCTAGTGCTAAATCTAATCCGCGACTTGTGATTGCCCATCTAGGTCGAATTATTTCACAAGGATAGGTATACTGACGCCACTTTTTCCATAAACCTATACTTATAATTATAAGTATAACACTAAAACTGTGATATAGGCACCTATTTAGCGTAAATACCGACTGATATGCAACAAATTTTTATTTGTTTTCATAGCTGTTTAAAATGTTAAGAGTCAACTGCTATGAACAAGTCGAGTCAATTTTATATTTTATAGCTAGCCTAGTAGGCATTTAAGCACAATATAGGTATTTGTAATGAAATTGACGACAATAAATTCATAAGCGTGCACAGACGTTTTTGCCAAGGTAATCATACCTATATAGTCATAACTCATAACACATTAACGATTAACAATACACATACAAGTCATACATATTATATTATATTTAGGGCTCGGGACTTCTAGGAGTTTGCATGTTTTTAAATAACCATCAAAAACATAGCTAACTAATATAGAAATTTGTTTCATAGCAATACAAGTTTATATTTAAAATTTATAGTTGCATATTTTGCATATTTGACCATTTTTCATTTATAAGTGCATATTTGACCATTTTTCATTTTATAAGTGCATATTTGACAATTATTTATATGAAGGAGTATAAGTATAAAAACGTCGATCAACTCGTATCCAATGTAAAAAAATCATTTCTTAAGGCACCGTCACGTATTCAAATATTAAAATCTGTTGCACCTGATATTCCATTACCTCCGCAGCCTATTTTGACCAGGTGGGGTACATGGATAGATGCGGCTTCATACTATTTTAAAATAATTGAACGCGTAATTGATACGCTTGATGAAAACGATGCAGAATCTATCAAGAAATGTAAACAAATTTTAAAATCAAATAATTTGGAAGCAAATTTAGTTTTTATTTTGTCAAATTATGGATTTATATCTTCATCTATCACTCGACTTGAAACCCAAGGCGTGGCACTAACTGAATCCATTAAAATAATAAAATTGCAAAAGAACATTACATCTGCAAAAATTCAAGGATCTGCACAAGCTAAAGCAATTGATGAAAAAATAAACAGGTTTTGGAAAAAATGTTGGATTTGATCAACTACTAAAAATATCAAAACATTTTAAATGGACAAGATGAATCAATGGACCCGTTGCCTGCAGATATTAGTAGTAGTGACCTACCATTTTTTAAGTTTGCGCCAATAAGTTCTGTAGACGTGGGAACGTTCCTTTTCAAATATATAAATATTTTGGCTGATAACAGGCGGTCCATTTAAATTTCCAACTTAAGAAAGTATCTATAGTCCTAATGTAATGCTAAAGGTAATGAGTGTTTGTTAAAAATATAAAATTTATTCAATTTAATTGTTTTTAAAAAAAGTTAAAATTTTTGTTTTGATAAAAACTAACATAAGATGAAAACAAACTGAAAAAGACATAACAATTATCTCAGATCATCATATTCATATCTATCATAATATCTAAAAAATAGTACTATTATTTATTAATTATTACTAATTTAATTTTTTATTTAATTATTTATAATGCATTACAAATATATATATTTTAATAGCATATTTAGTGATTCTTTAGGGCATAAATGCATGCATATTTTAAGGTTTTTTAGGGCATGAAGTCCCTAGCCCTAATTATATTATATTCATATTCACGCCTAAGTTGTAAAAACTAATTTGGATGAGGTTACCTTAACCTCATTTAACTACATTAGTACATTTACCGTAATGAAAAAGTATTTTATAAATAAAAATAAAATTATCGACTAGGTATCATCATAATATTGAATATTGAGGGGGGGAGTTCGCAGAGTAGTCAAATATCTACCACGACTACCCAGTGCGCACGGTTCGATTTACGTGTTATTATTTATTACTTTATTAGGTACCTATAATAATATCGCTTGCACGTATTTTAATAAAAAAAACTAGAAAAAACTAGAACGACGACCACAACAACGAAAAAATTCCACTAACCAGAAGGCGTTATTTCAAATGAAAACAAAATGTTTTATTAATAACGACGAATGATGATGATATAAATTATAAACAATAACAACAACAACAGCGACGGCGACGATGAACATTCAACAGACCGTCGCCAGCCGCGCAACCGTCTGTGCCCGGTGGTGACTGGTGGTGTCCGTCCGCAGTGTCGCCCCTCTCGTGAGAACTGGGGGGGAGATGATCAGTTGGCTGCACTAAGGCGATCGTAGGTAGTTCTCTCGTAGATGCTCGTATAATAATATTGTTCCCCAATCCCATACACAGAACATAAATAGCCATTATTTATTATTATTATTATTATTACATCCGGTGGTGGTAGCAGCAGCAGCTGCGGCGGGCGGCGGCCTATCAATGAAACGGTGTTGGTGTGCCGCGGAGTGCGGACAGTCGTCGTCAGTGATAGTGGTGTGTGCCTTACTTAAATTATGAATGAATCCAAGTGAAACGTAGTATTGTAGTAAATTGAGTTTGTCGTGGGGGCACCGTGTCCGTGTCTGGTGTGTACGTATATAGGTCTATAGTGTTTTTTTCCTCCGTTTACCCTTTCCCGCCCTATCAACGACGTGTAACTGCGTAAGTATCGTGTTATTACCAATATTATTAATAATATACCTATAAACGTCTTCAAGTGGTTCGAATTCGTTGTCTTCCGTATTCCGATATTTCCGGTCGTCGTCGTTCCGTTTTGTGTGCAAAACTGCAAAAGTATAATATTGTTGTTATACCTATATCATATTGTCGTCGTCGTCCGTTCAATATGTTACCGCTTTTCCGGTGGCCAAGTCGGGACTGGACCGACGGCGGCACCTCACAAACGGAACGTGTGACGCGGCAGTCGTCTTATTAAAACCGGAAAGTCATCTTCAATCCAATTGTGTGTTCCAGCAGAAATAGGCGGCGGCTCATTCAATCAACTGTCGCATTATGTCGTCCCTATCGTTGCCAAGGGTGTTGCAAAACCGGAAGACCAGTCTGGACCAGGTACGAGAGCACTTTGAAAAGATTCAGGTAAGATATCAACAACTCGGCCTCTCGTGCAGTCATACTTCCACTTTGAGGTGTACCTCAATTGCTGTTGTAATTTAATGTACACATTATATCTATATATTTATAGACCCTACAGTTTGTAATAGAAAATAAACACTTCAAACCTATGTCTTGGCCTAATGTCAAGACCACTTGTTTCAATTAAACATGCTGATGTTGTTCGAATAGTTTGAGATAAGAATTTCACTTGAAAAATATCATCATTATCTCTCTTAGCAATATTAAAAGATTAGTATTTATTATAAATTTTTAACATTTTAACTAATATTATTGTCATCACTTGTACTTACAGTAATTTTTGTTTTATTTTTTATTGAATTGAATAATAAGTATCTCCCAATAAAATTGTGCAGTAGTCACGTTTAGAAGAACTGAGTAAATTTTATACTTTTTGTCTTCAGTGATATTTTTAGAGGTGTGACAAACTGCACCCAATTGTTCATTGTAATAATGGAAGAATTTCATGTAAGAACTTATACTCACTTACATTTATTGTCCTACCTATTTTATTTCATTTTTGACATCTGTATGAATTAGTTATTTCATTATTATGATCAATTATTTTCTTAATTTGACTAATAAGTCAGATAAGTACTCACAGATAATTTATTTTAAATGTAGGTACTAAGTTATATTAAAACTATTCCTACTATTAGAGTTATTATCCCTGTTTTTATTATAATACTTATATTTATTTAATTGTACATTTATTGTACTTAACTTTTAAAAAATATTTAGATATAAATCATAAGCTACCAAAAAATGGGAAAACTGCATTTTTTATTTGGATATAAATTGTAATATAGTATTATTTTGTATTGTATTTATTGTTTCAGGCTGCAAGCATTAGTAAAGCAATTAATACATTGGAAAATCCAGTAAAAGAAAAACATGCTAGAAGTATCCTTTTCTTAATAATTAATAAATTATAAAAAATATATATCTATACCTACATATTTTATAATTTTAAACAATTCATAAAATTAATTCCTTATAACAAATTATTTTAGATGCTATTATAGGTACATTTCAAGAGAAAAGTGCAGAGACTTTTTGGCGTTGTGTCACTAAATTACCATTACAAGAACACCGTATTGTGGCCTGGAAATTTTGCCATGTGTTACACAAAGTTTTGCGGGAAGGCCATCCAAATGTTTTGGCATCATCACAAAGACACAAAACACTTTTACATGACTTAGGAAAGTTATGGGTACAGTTCAATTTTTTCTTATCATCAACTTATAAAAAAATAAATAATTTATTGTGTATTAAACATTCACTTTAAAGGTACATTTAAAAGATGGTTATGGAAAACTCATTCAACAGTATTGTCAATTACTACTTACAAAATTAGATTTTCATAGACGTAACCCGGGATTCCCCGGCAATCTAGTTTTATCCGAAGAAGATCTATGTAGAATTGGAGACAATGATGTTAATAATTATTTTCAAATGTGTGTGGAAATGTTTGATTATATTGATGAAATTCTAGGACTTCAGTCTGCAAGTAAGTATAATTAGACTCGTAGTTTATATTCCTCTGGTCATGATGTATATTTTTTATTTTATCGTATAGTTTTTGGTTCATTGGATATGTCTCGCTCAAATTCAATGACTAGCCACGGTCAGTGTCGATTGGCTCCTTTATTGCCTTGCATATTAGATTCTACACAGTTGTATGATTTATGTGTGAAAATCCTGTTTAAAATGCATGCTACTCTACCACCGGATCTATTATCTGGCCATAGAAAACGTTTCCTAAGACAATTTACCATACTACGTCAATTTTATTTGGGGTCATCTAATCTCCAGTATTTCAAAACACTTATACAGATACCTCTTTTACCCGAGGTAAAATAATTATTAAATAATATATGAATTTGATTATGATTATTATTATTATTACTATCATATATATTAGAATCCTCCAAATTTTTTGGTACAAGCGGAATTATCAACCTATGTTACTCAAGCCGCCATTGTATTGCCAGATGAAGATCCATCAGAGAGTAATAGTATGATTGGTGAACTAGTTGATCTAGGAATTGGGAATAGTGTCACTAGCAGTGAAACTAGTCAAAGATCTTTATCACCTGATCTTTTAACCCAAAGGTATATTATTTTATTTTTTTTAGTAAAAATAAATGGACTAAACATAAATTTTATTAGTTTATGTATGTACTGGTTCACTTAAAATAATGTTATGAACAGTGTTTATATTTATACAACAATTAAAAAATTACTATAGATTTTTAGTTATTATTTATATCATACTAAATGTAATAAATACAATAATATTATGAACATACTTTGCAGAGACAACATGATTCAGCATTTACACGGAGAATTGAACGCTCATCAGTCATTAATAATTCAATTAAAACAACAAGTTTCTACATTAGAAATGGAATTGGCAAAAAAAGTATAGGTTTTGTTAAAGTAGGGACTATACAACTAAAAAAAAAATGATTTTTTTAGTGTTAAAATTTTGGTTATCTTAAAATTATTGACAGACTATTACTTCCATGTAGTTACAGCCTATCAGGCGGTGTATATTAAGATGTCACTCGTAAAACGTGACTTATATTTAAATACGAAGTAATTGTCCATAATTGTTTTAAGATCACCAAATCTTATTTGTAACACTATTTTCACACAATAAAAAAGTCGGTCTTTTTTGGTTAGTCCTTTAACAATGTATCGAGTAAATTACTTATTTTATTTATTTATTATTAAACTCCACAGGATAGTGAATTAACACAAGAAAGGCTTATCAAAGATGATTTACTGCATCAAGTAAATTCTATGGACAATTTTGATGAATTGGATAGTAAGTTGTCATATAATATATATTAAGACGAAAATGTCAAAGTCAATACTGTATTGGAGAATTATATGGCATATGAGTCAATAGTCATAAATAAGTGTTTTATAATATTAAATTGTTTTTATTTTGATGGAATAGATTCTTATTATTTGATGGTAGATGCTCATTAATAATAATTTTCCTTTGAAAATTTACCTCCGATGGGAGGCCTCTTCCTTCAGTCTCTTCTGTCTGTTTTGTTATTATCACTTAAGCTTATTTTTATTTTTTTTTTTTTTTATTAATAAAAGCCTCGGCATCTAGGGCCATTGGCTACTACAAATTTATGGGGTTACATAGGAAGGTAGTTACTTAATATTAATACACATGTTATTTTACAGTAGGTTGATTAAATTAGAATTGATTATAAATGATATCGTGTTCTGGATGTTGGCTGGCTGAAGGGCTTTGGCGAGAATGCATGAAACTCCTGCTTCCCGTTTTTCTCTCTCAAATTGGCGGCATTCAGATATAATATGCTTGATTGTGAGCTGGGTGCCGCAGCTTGTACACATGGGGGGGGTCTTCCTTCCTCATCAGATGCTGGTGGGTTAGCGCTGTGTGTCCGATTCGCATTCTGTTGATTGCCGTCTCTATTTTCCTGGATGTGTTCGATGGAGAGGGCCATGTTAGGGTGGTGTGTTTGATCTCGTTTAGTTTTGTAGAACCTAGTCTCCAAGTCCGGAGCCATACTTAAGCTTATTGTTCTAATTGTAACAGATAGCGTAATAAAGAATTTTGTTAAAAAAAAAAAACTTTGAAAATTATTGTGATAAAGGGAATCGTTTGACAACCAGCTAAATCACATACGATTCCAGTCACATCTTAATAAATAAATATTAAATTATAATTATAATAATATTAGTAACAGTATTTAATATTTATAATTAAAAATATAAAAATTATAATTATCGTTTTTAGAAAAATATAAATTGCTTGAAGAAAAGTTCAACAAATTGAAAGAAGTGTATACTAAATTGAGAGAGGAACACATTACATTGTTAAGACAGGTAATAATTTGTTATCAAACTATTATTTACATCATAATATTATGTTTTTAGTTTGGTGCGCTAAATAACTAATTTTTAGAAAGCTGTCGTCGATAAGTCACTGAAAGGATCAGAAAAAATGACTAGATTTGCTCAGGCAGCCAATTCCTTGTTACTGTCCATTGTAAGCTATAGTTGTGTTTTAAGTGATGGGCAAGGTATTGGGAAGGTGTAGGTCAATATTGAATGATTGGTTGTACAAATTATGGTTCTCTTTTTAAATTGATTTAGTTATTCAAACATATTTTAGATTATAGCTAAATATTATGATAGTTGGTCAAGGGCGTAGTGCTTGATTAAATTTATTTATTTTAATATATTATAATATGAGGTAATTTTTTTAAGTAAAAAACTCATTATTTCAAAACTAAGAACTTTTATTTTATATTCCCAAACAGAATATTTTTTATATAATTTTGATAATAGAAGTAAAATTTAAATGAGTAATTAATTATTTATTAGAATTTGAAAGTTAGAAGAGTGGAACAGTGGCGCTACATCTTGCAGGACACTGCTGTGCTACTACTCTGTTGATTTAAATTAATATACTAATTAACTACAAATTAGTAATTCAATTCTTATATATCAAATTAGGTGCTTGGAAAAATATTCTAATTCGGAATATGAAATTAAAAATATATGTTGTATTTCAAAAAAGTTAAAAAGTTAAATAATGATAATTATATAATTTTGTAAATATTAATAGCATTTAAAATAATGAATGTCATAGGTTAAATTAAGAATATATCTATAATTATATGTTATATTGCAAACTGAAATGTTAATTTTAGGGTTAATTAATTCAACGAATACATGTGTACAACTAATATATTGTTATTGATTAATGATTATGGCTATTTGAAAGACTTTTGTCCACATAAAAACGCAAGTAGTTTGGAAATTATAAATATATGTATATAATTAAATGTAATGGGTATTATTTTATTGGGCATTGAATAGTGTTATCACTTTGTCAACATCAATATATAAACGATTAAATTAATTTAAATTAAATTTTTTTTATATTTAAATTTAATATAGATATTTATATTAACAGTTGAAAAATGTATTTGATCTTTATTCTTTTTATTATTGTGTTGACCTACTATTATAGTATTGAAGATAAAAATATAGTTAATTTGCTCATTATGTAGGCTTAATTTCCAATTATTTTCATTTGGTAATATTTGTTTTTGGTTCATAGCTACTTCTTTATAATTTTTAAGCACTTAAATAATCTAAATATCTTTTACAAATTAAAAATATACTACTTGATGTAGAATTATATAAGCAATATATTATATATATTATGAGTCAAATAAGAAGGCTTGTTACAATATCTTTATTTCTAATTAGATGAAAATTGTTTGCAGAATACCATAGGCCAGCTGTGGCAAACCTAAAGGTGACAAATTTTAATGGCACGTTCAAATACTTTTATTTCATTGTTAAATCTTTCATATTGGCGTTTAATAAAAAAAAAAACTATACATTCAATATTTGTGCGAACATGCATTGTGTATGTTTATTTTCCCCAAACAATGAATTTCATCAAATCAAAAAAATAAATAAAACATTGATGGATGACACTAATTTTGCTTGTGTTTGAATGAAATGTTTTAAATTAACAAAATAAAAACCTAATATTAACATTTTTTTTTTTAAAACCCCATCCAAAAAAATTTTGTGGGCACATACATTTTTTTAAAAATTTTTATTTCATAATGCTGCCACTCCTGCCATAGGCTATAAATGTAATTTAATTTACGTGTTGTAAAATATTGAATAATATGATGTTAATAAGTATTTATATAGTAGATACATGTACAATATTGATGTTAATTAATAATTAGTTTATATTTTATTTTGAAATAAATATGGTTATTTTAGAAATCTGACGTGGACAAGCAGTTATTAAACATGCGTACTGTTGAATTTAATATGGGACCTCAAAGAATAAAGTTTGAAGAGGAACTAATAGCACTCCAAACTACTGTGGATTCAACTACTCGTCAAAATGATGTATAAATAATAATATACATATTATATATTTATATTAACATATAATTTTTGATTAGGAACTTCTGATGGCAACTGAACTATTGAAGACTGAAGTTAGTGATGCCAAGCAAAAATTGACTGATGCCGTACTTATAAAATCTGATTTAGAATTAAGACTTTCAGAATCTGAGGAATTACGATTTTCAACCAATGCTCTTTGGTTTGGTTAGTATATAGTGTTACGTAATAATACTTATAATGTATACTACAGCCTACAGGGGTCACCAATTAATATTTTTGAAGGGCCACATTGCTAGAATTGCTACATACCGTATTAACAAAAATGATAAATTATAACACTAAAACATGTAATATTATAGATTTTGACTTATTTTTTCTAGTCTACTTGCTAGATAAAATTTGACCTTGGGCCGCAATTTGATGACACCTGATTTATGATATATTTATTTGTTGTGCTTATTTGATGTTTATACAATATGTAATTTTTATTAGAATGCTGTCGTAAAATAATTGAACATACATGTGAAATGATAGATGATCCTTCTATGTCTTCAGCTACTTGTTCCCCTGGTATGTTGTCCAATTATATTATAATTCTAATTCTTACTAATATTTTTTTTCTTTTGGTAAATTTAGAATGCGTATCTTTAATCAAAGAAAAACTTGTCAGTACTATTGGAAAAGGAAAAGACGAGGTTGCAGGGTTTGCCCATTATGTTGCCATGTATATTGTTTTTGGAAAAGCGGTATCAAACACAAAATCCGACCTGAATGATGCTCAAAGTAAATATTTTTCACACTATTGTGTGTAATTTAAAGTCTGTTTTACATATGTTGTCAATAATAATTTATTGTTATTTATATTATATCTAGAGTTGTTAGATAAATGCAAACAAGTAGGAAAAGACAGTGTAAAACTCTTAACAGCTTGGCAGACAGGTATCAAAATTGATGAATGTTGCAAGGGTCTTAACAATACATTGAATGATGTAGAATCCATGGCTTCTTCCACACAAGCAAATGAATCATTGGGCGATTTGGTTGAAGATGAGCTTAGTATAATGGATAGAGCAATTGAAGAAGCGGCTAAACGCATTCAAGTACACATTAAAAGTTTAAATCCAAAATAATCTTTAAAATAAATAATTTCATGTATTTAAAATCTTAGGAAATGATCACTGAATCTAGAGCTGCACATTCTGGAATTAAATTGGAGGTTAATGAACAAATTTTGGATTCATGTACTTCCCTCATGGCTGCCATCAGAGTGTTGGTGCATAAATCACGTAAACTTCAAGCTGAAATTGTAGCTAATCAAGGTTCGCATGGGTCAGCTAAAGAATTCTATAAGCGTAACCATCAGTGGACTGAAGGACTAATTTCTGCAGCCAAATCTATAGGTCTGGGTGCTAAAGGGTTGTTGTAAGTACCAATATTATTAAATATTAAAATAATATAATTATAATAAATAATAATAATGCCCAAAATATAAATAAGTTGTCCACAACATGATTTCTAATTAGTGGAAAAATATTTGTTTATTATTAACGGAGTGTAGTCGTGTAAACATAACAGAAAGAGATAATTATATTAAATAAACATAATTTTTGCTAAAAAAATTGTATGAACATAACTTATTGTACTTAACTACATACTAAAATCAAGAGAATTTCAACTTTTTAAAATCTATAAATGCAGAAATATTTTATTTATATTTTTTCACTTAAATTTGGATTAGATTATTTAGATTCATCACTTATTCAATAGTTAAAATTAGGAAAAAATATATATATATTTATTTGAATTTATAATTAATTATTAATTTGATTCACTAATCACTAACCATAAAAATAATTAATTTACATTTTATCAGACCTATTTTAACAGTATTTCTTAATAATATAAATGCTTAATTATATCTTCATTATAAGCATATTAATTACTGTACCTCATTTTTCTTCATTTTGTTAAATTGATTTTACAATAACTGCAAATAATTTTTATTAGTATTGTGTTTTTTTATAGAATTTTTAAATATATTATATTATAGTATATTTTAAAGCTTGTTTAGATATTATTCATTTTGGGAATGTCTTTAAATTTAAGCTGTTAAAATTAAAAACAATACTGTTACTTTGACTGATAAAGAACAGGTTTAAATAATATGACATAAGAATTTTGTATTTAATGATAATCTAAGAATAATAAATTGTACATAAATTATGTCATAAAAATTAAATATGGTTCTAACAGAGATGCGGCAAATGAGGCTGTAAGTGGCGAAGGAAAATTAGAAAGATTAATAGTGGCTTCTCACTGTGTGGCTGCTGGGACAGCACAACTTGTGGTTGCCAGCCGTGTAAAAGCTTCACGAAACAGCGATAATTTGGCTGAATTATCACAAGCGTCACGTAATGTTACAAATGCTACTGCTACAGTGGTAGCCACTGCCAAATCTTGCGCCCAATTAGTTCAACAAACAGGTAAAAAATAACTATAAGATTAATATGCTTCATATAAATTATAAAGTAAACAATATTTTTGTTCAAAATGTATTTATTTATTGTTTTTTTTTTTTTCATACATTTTTCAGAAGAACTAGATTTAGGTGTCTTGAATGAACATCAAACCAAACGTTTAGAAATTGAGTGCCAAGTTCGTGTGTTAGAGTTAGAATCATCTTTAGAAAAAGAAAGAATGAAGTTATCTTCGTTGCGTAAATTACATTACCAAGAAGATCAAAGTTAGCGAACAAAACATAAATTTCCTTTAATAATAATTAGTCTTTTGTATCAAATTTAATCTGCTTCGAAATTATATTACTTTTTTCTAATAATTTGACCAAGTTTATATTTTATACTGCTCAACCTACTACTATTAGACATATTATGTGTTAAAACTCTTATTCCATTTTAAGCTTATTAAATTATTAATATTTTTTTTATTATATTTCCAACATAAAAATGGGTATTAGTAACTTAACCATATGGCTGTTAAATAATATTGTATAGTACCAGTTTCAGAGATCTCCTTACTTGTGTTTCTAAAGTTGTTCTTTAATATTTTTAAATTGCCAGTCATGCATTCAATTTATAGGACTTCGGGTACAATAACTAGAAAATTATTTATTTATAATTATCTATTCATATTCCATTTTTATTTTACATTTTTACTGTTTATCAAGCATGCTTAAAAACAAATGTTATTTCACTTGTTAACGTTTATATTAAAAAAGTTATGTAGTTTGTATCTTAATGTCGTATTCTAATGATGTATTAAACAGCATATTCTTATATTTATTGTTAAATAATGGATATTTTGTTTAATGTTTATGGATTACATTGTAGTTGTTGCACACGCGATCAATTAGATATAAGTTATTATGTTTATATACATTTTTTTAAAACCATTAACTTAGAAAATATAAGTTAAAACTTTTCTATTATTACTTTATTTGTGGCATATTTTATAATTTTTCTACTTAGCTTACTTATTGGGCCATTGATCTGCGCCAATTCACAAACTATTGTTAATCATTGTAACCTAACCAAATATTTAATTATGTTTCCTTTTTTTATGTTATATAAATATTATTATTATACATCTTATATAATAAAATAAGAACTATTACTACTTATTTGTCTCATACACTTGGTTCTTCAATGTACTTGATGTATAGTCGTATTGGATGACTGCAACGTCTCGTAAGTTTCCACACTACCTATGCATGTTAAACGACATTATATCACATCGTCCTTGTTGTTTAAAAGCATGAGGTATAACACGTGGAGCGTTTTAGATTCTGAGTGAAACGATGAATGTATTGATTTTACAATGATGTGTGTTTTTTTTTTTTCTTATTTTTTTTTGTGTCTGTCGTCACGTTTTAGGACAGTAAAAGTGCTTGGGTTTTCTTCAACAGTAGCTTTTCTGATAGGAAAGTGAATCTAGTTGGTACTTTGGGGGGTTAAAAGTAAAAATTTCCCAGTAGTTTTCACAAGCGCCTGGAAAAACAACATAAAAATTAAGGAAAACGGAAATTTTTACGCAAAATCGGTTTTCCAAAAAATCGATTTTGGTTTTTGGTGTGTGTAGCTCTAAAACAAATGAACGTATATACATGAAATTTTCACTGGTTGTTTATATTTGCATTTTCTATAAAGATAACATTTTCAAAATATTTTGAACTGTTTAGGGACATTTTCATTTTCCATTTTTTTTTAGTTTTTTTTCTAAAAATATCAATAAAATTTTATTTGTTGGTTGACGGTGTTGAAACATTGTAGGTGCATAAAAATATAGATCTTTTGATCTGTGGTCTGAGAGATATAATCCTTCTCTAATTCATTGTTAATGTGCGTGCGTCTATGAATCTAAAAAGTGTAAATGTTTTAAATGTTTTAAATGTTGAAAATAAAAAAAACTTATACATTACGAACGAGAAGAAACTTAAAAAAGTTAAAAAGATTAAAGAACATGGGAAAACTTTTAGAAAATAAAAATTTGAATAGTAATCGGAAAATTTAATATTATTAACGAAAGTAAAAACTGATATTATATTATTATGTAGGTAAATGTAAACGCTAATAACATTAATAAGAAAATTAATAACTAATAACTATGCAGCATACTATTGAGCCAGCATATCTATTATTTATTGTAATATTAAATGTGAATAATAACTTCTTTGTGTAAGTTTGTTTATATTGTGTTTGTGGCCAACACACGATATTAACAATTAATACCAAGTAGGTATAATTAAGGCTGCTCCTATTTACGTTACCTGTAGGCTACCTACCTATTAGAGTGAAGAGATGGATACCATTATTATATTTAGGTATACTATTTATGTAGGTACTAACCTTGCCTGCAGATTTACGAATTGTTTATGTTCAAACTTTCTAAGTGTCCAGAATTAGGAAGAGTTATTCCATTTAAAATTTTTAAAACAAACAATAGTTTAAGTAGACACTTAATTTTTCGAAATAATTTGTACAAATAAAATATAAAGGTAGTATTAATTCTAAAATATTAAAAATTAAACTATACCTAATGGTTAAATAAAGATTTACTTTTATGGTTTAATGGCTCATCGATTTATTCGTTATTATAATATCATAAATTATATAACTATTAGTATCTTGAATGCTTCGTACAATACCATAAAAATATATAAAGAGTATAAAGTTGTTTACTACCTACGATTGTCGATTAGCAGTAGACAATAATACCGATGTCCAATAATAATTATTGCAATGAGGATGTTACCTATAAATACTTAAATATTGCAAAAGTGTTGCTCAACCTGCAGACGACTGCCCAAAAGTACTATTATTTTCCCTAAACAATGTAATATGTTCAGTGGGGTCCATTATCTTCTTGAAGAATAAGAAAAAAATAAATAAATAAATAATATCCACCCACCAGTCGTCGAGGCACGCCAAATTCGTAATTGTACATGATATATTATAGTATTATACGATGGGAGTGAATAGTTTAATACCTATATATTTATATTATTTACCCACTTGCCAAGTTTATGAGTGGGCGTAGATGTAGTATAGGTACATAAAATAACTATAACCTTGCCGATTCGAACTAGATTTAAGTGCGCATATAATGGTTTTTTGTATTCCCTCCACACAACCACTTGGCTGCAGCAAGTAGTCGCTAGAAAAAGTAGGCGAAAATAAAAACAAACACAATCGGACGAATAACGCGCTCCTACCTATACCTAGGTACCACTCGAGAACGTTGAACTTGAACTCAGATTTTATACAAACAACTCGAGCACCGTACGCCGAAGTTTTCTCGTGGTGTCGGTAGCTGTTGAAATCGACCGTATACTATATAAAGTGCAGGCACGTATCCAGGGGGGGGGTCCATGGGGTCTGGACCCCCCCCCCCAAAATTTTTGTGCACCGGCACATAAAATCATTATCCTTATTATTTAAAATATATATAAAATACGTGTTATTCAAAAAAATGTTATTGTGTTGTGGTACAAAAATAAACCACTATAGAACAGTCGAATATTAATATTATCTATGGGTCGAATTATATCGCGGAGACCCGACGGACGACACACTGTCACTTCAACAACGTCGTTTAACGTCAATTATTATCGAACAATATTATCGCAGATATGTGACATTTGTACATGTTATCGGAAATCTCGTATTGACTATTGGGTTTCATAGTTTCATGAGATATTAATCATACATGAATATTGAGTGCGACTTTGCGAGACAAACACGAGTTCCGTTTTTGGCATAGTTTTAAATAATAATAAAATATACTTTGACGTTATTTTAATAACTTTTTTTTTTAATTTGACTTAAGTATTTGTATTAATTGTCATGAAGCGAGGAGCATTAGACAAATTTTTCAAACCAGCAGTTAAAAATCCGCGGTTAGACAATGACTTGAAACGTGAGCTTGAAGAAAATACGACGGTCACAACTGAGCTAACTGTGGATGTAAAAAATGTGAGTACTATTAACATGGATATCGGAACGGTCTCGATAGAATTATTTGAAAAAAAAAAAATTATACCTCCAACAACGATTTATTTAAAACTAACGTTATGAATTTCCTATATGTACCTACTGCGACTTATGATTTTCCTGTTCGTGAATTTAATGGAAAAAAACTTAAATTTCAATATCAATGGTTCCAAAAATGGAATTGGTTATCATATTCAAAAGTATTTGACGGGGCATTTTGTAAATATTGCGTTTTGTTTTGTAACGACTATGTTGGAAAAGGATCCCATGAAAAGATTGGTTCACTAGTTGCCAAACCGTTTATTAAATGGAAAGACGCTATAGAAAAATTTACGTCCCATTCTAAAGCGGGTCATCATCGATTCTGTATAAATGCTGCAGATAATTTTAGTAATGAGGTTAATGGTAAAATGAATGATGTTGCTACACAATTATTTTCACAAAGAAAACAACAGCGAAATGAAAACAGATTAGCTCTCAAACCTATTATAGAAACTATAATTTTTTGTGGCGAGCAAGAAATTCCTCTCAGAGGTGATAACGACAGTGGTCCATTCTCACTTCAAAAACCAGCAAATAAGGATGGTAAATTTCGTGCTTTACTTCGGTTTAGGGCTAATTCTGGTGACAACAATTTGAAAAAACATTTATTAAGTTGTCAACAAAATGCTACTTACTTAAGTCCGACTATACAAAATGAAATTATTGAAATATGTGGAAACTTAATAACAAAACAATTAGTCACTGACATAAACAAATCTGGTTGTTTTACAATTTTATGTGATGAAACTTTAGACGTTTCTGGAATAGAACAACTTTCTCTGTGCGCTAGGTATATAAATTTTAAAAACCAACTACGTGAAGATTTCTTATGTTTTATTCCAGCCTATGATCTTACTGGAGAAAATTTGGCTAGTTTAATTTTGGAAAAGTGTGAACTATTAGGTTTGGATATGAGTAATTTAGTTGGGCAAGGATATGACGGCGCAGGAAACATGAGTGGACAATTCAATGGGGTTCAGTCTAGAATACGGCAAAAATATCCAAAAGCAATGTTTGTACATTGCGCAGCTCATAGATTGAATTTAGCACTCTCGTCATCTTTATCATTCTCAAGTGTAAGAAATAGCCTCGGCGTTATAAAGGATGTTATAAATTTATTTAGAAACAATGCCTTAGCCGGTCATGCTCTTAAAAATAATATTTCAAAGTATGTTCCTGAATCTAAAAGAACTCGTTTGGTTGGTCTATGTGAAACGCGTTTTATAGAACGACACGATGCTATTAATGTTTTTGTTGAACTTCTTGAGCCAATTATAATCAGTCTTCAAGATATTCAAGAAACAAACCGCTCTGTATCCTCAAGTGCATCTTCATTTTTAGCTGCAGTGGAAAAAAGTAGTTTTATTATTTCTTTGTTAGTTTGCGAACATCTTTTAAACTTTACGCTTCCATTATCGCATTATCTACAAAATCCTGCACGCGACCTTTCATCTGCTATGAACTACGCTCACGACATTATAAATAAACTAAAACATTTAAGAAATAACTATATTGAAACATTCTCATCTATTTTTCAAGATGCTAATAAATTGAGAAAACTATATTTTGATTCAGAAATTGTATGTCCACGCATTATAAAAAACCAAAAACACAGAGATAATTATGATTGTAACACACCGGAAGAATACTATAGAACATCGATATTTGTACCATCGATAGACGGTTTCATTTTAAATTTAGAAAACCGTTTTAAACAAAACAATGTTTTGTCATCAAGTGAAATCCTATTGCCAAAATTTGCCTTAAATGAAAATGTTTCAAAACTTAAAAGCTTAAACATATTTTACGAAGATCGTACATCTGAAAAAGTGGTTTGTTCTGAATTTTTATTATGGTGTGAAAAATGGATAAATGTAGAAAAAAAACCCACTGAAATGATGGATATTTTGGATGCATGTGATGCAAAGTTTTACCCAAACATACATTTTTTATTGAAAATCTTGGCAACACTACCAGTTTCTACAACAGCAGTTGAACGCTCATTTTCAACACTAAAACGTTTAAAAACATTGCTTCGTAACAAAACTGGAAATGAGCGTTTAACGGGACTTGCTCTTCTGTCAGTTCATTGGGAAGTGTCTATCTCTACAGACGAAGTGTTGGATGTAATGGCTCAACAAAACAGAAAATTAATATTATAGACCTCACTACATCAGTTGAAAATTTTAAATAATAATAGATTGTATTTTGTATTGTATTGTAACTAAAATTAATAATAATTATATAAATATAAATAAATAATTATATAAAAATTGAACTAACATTTATTTCGACCCCCCCCAAAATAAAATCCTGGCTACGTGCCTGATAAAGCGAATAAGCGATATTATCATATGTAAAATTAAAGGTAGAGGTACTTATTGATATTTTAAATTTATTATCGATAGCTATGATTTCTTGTTTGATCGATTTTCTGCTCGGCACACCTGCACACCGCGGTCACCGTACTCGCGGCGTTCGTTTACTATTATACTACCAACACGACAAGAGGCGAAAGTTGAAAGTACCCCACGACCCGCCGTGGCCGCTGGTGGGCAACACCTTGAAGACGATGACTTTGATCGAACACCAGTTGGCCACCATCGACGGGATTAACAAACGGTTTGCCGGCGAGAAATACTGCGGAGCTTATCAACAATATATATTGATCAAGGACTTCTCGAACTTCGTGGACCGTGGTTTCCACAAGGACCCGGCCTTGAACATAATCGCCAAAGGGTTGTTCTTCATGGAGGGTCCCGAGTGGAAGGTGATGAGACAGAAACTGAGCCCGGGATTCACGTCCGGCAACCTGAAGTTGGCCCACAACCAGATCGCGGAGTGCAGTGACGAGCTGTCGAGCTGATGTGATTTATCGCTGCCAAAATTAAAGAAAACGACCAGAAATCGGCGTTCAATGAGGTTATCAGGTACAAAGAGGAAATGGTGATCGCGTAGAACGACACACATTTATTTCGCTGTGTATAGAGACCCGACTCGACTGACATAACTTACCATGTAACCTACTTAAGGTGGTGTTGCATTATAGCAAGTCGGGGGATATTTTCGATTTGCAGAGCGAAGCGACGGCGCCGAGGAGCGCAGCGACGAGTGCTGTTATACGCGTAATCACTGCAACTTTGAACTTCCATAACTTTTGAACGGTAAGTTTCCGATTTTCCTCAAATATTCCCAGAAACTTCCCGTTCAAAAGTTATGGAAGTTCAAAGTTGCAGTGATTACGCTTGTATCAGCACTCGTCCCTTCGCTCCTCGGCGCCGTCGCTCCGCTCCGCAAATCGAAAAAATATTCCCCGACCTTCTATGCAACACCACCTTCTGTAGGTTACAGGGTAAGTTGAGTAGGGTCGGGTCTCTTATCAATATACCCGGATGGTCGGGTTTCCTATACACTTCGAATTTATTTTTCACTATGCCATGAATCGAACCGATGACTGTGTGAGTCGTAGTCTGCAACTGCGTGACCACTGCGCCACTTCGGCCCCATGTTTACATATGATTTTAAAAATGTACCTAATTAAGTAGGTAGTTGACCAAATTATTGATATTTGTGTAATTCGTTATTGTCTATTGACATATTCATGCACATGCATGAGCCCTCCGTTATTCTTTTTACACACAGACACAGTCACTCACTAAATTAATGATCACATACTACACACATATTTACAAGATGCACAATCCATACATATTTCAATTTGTAAATTTCCCAGGTATTTTTAGCTCCTTAAAAATGTCCTTTTGCAATCCCCTAAATCCGGTAATATCCAATAAATAACTTTATTTCTATATAAAATATGTATCTGATCATTATTGTGGAATATTATTTACTGAAGAATTGACGTGTCTTCTGCAGTTTCCATATTATATTCTAATGGGCATAATAATATATATGCGTCTAATGTGACTAAATTTGATTAAAAATGGGTCAGAGTCCAGAAATAGCACTAAAATCAAAAAAGTCTCAAAGTATGCAAACAACAATTTTTTGTTTCAGTTCTATGATTTATGAAACAAATTTTAAGCTTACTTTGCTTTCTCTTAAGAGCTTTTTAGGTATAAGAAATATGTAAATGCTATAAAATCCCAACCCTGGTAGAAATTTTAATGAATTGTGGTTGTATTACCAAAGACACAGTTAACCTGATTTATGGGACAATTTGTGGGGAGGGATATAACCCATAATCTCCCCGCCAGGAAATGCCACTGTATTTAAGTAACTAAACATTGTCTTAACATTATGATGTATTTTTTTAAAAATGTGTACCTAATTCATTATAAATAAGTTAACGTTTGAATTTATTTATTTATGTTTGTTTTATTTCTAATTTATTTAAATTTCAAAAGATAAAATGTTTTTCCATAACATGAAAGTTTCTATGAATTCAATTTCTGATAAATGTCTGTTTGTGAAAATATATTTTTTTTATTATTTGTATTTTCGATTTATTCCAAACAATGTCTGTTCAAAATATATGTTTCCAATTTTAGATTCTGAGTGAAACGATGAATGTATTGATTTTACAATGATGTGTGTTTTTAGATTCTGAGCGGAGCGATGAATGTATTGGTTTTACAATGATGTATGTTTTTATATTTTAGATTCTGAGCGGAGCGATGAATGTATTGGTTTTACAATGATGTATGTTTTTATATTTTTATTTATATTTTTATATTTTTATATTTTTATATTTTTGTGTCTGTCATCACGTTTTGGGACAGTAAAAGTGCTTCGATTTTCTTCAATAGTACCTTTTCTGATAGGAAAGTGAATCTAGTTGGTACTTTGGGGGGTCAAAAGTAAACATTTTCCAGTAGTTTTCACAAGCGCCGGGAAAAACAACATAAAAATTAAGGAAAAACGGGAATTTTTACGCAAAATCGATTTTCCAAAAAATCGAATTTGGTTTTTGGTGTAACTTTAAAACAAATGACCGTAGATACATGAAATTTTCACTGGTTGTTTATATTTGCATTTTCTATACACGATAACATTTTCAAAATATTTTGATTTATTTTGATCTGTTTAGGGACAGTTTCATTTTTCATTTTTTTTTAGTTTTTTTTCTAGAAATATCAATAAAATTTTATTTGTTGGTTGCGAAAGCTTGAAAATTTAATAGAAGGCTCCTAATATATTGCTTCAAAGGTAGATGAAAAATATTAAAAATCCTTAGTCACAATTTTTTTTTATAAGCATTTAAAGTTCAAAAATTGACAAAATATGGAAAAATCACGAAAATTAGCAAATTATTTTGAGTTAAGAATTCGTAAAAATTTTTCTTTTTAAATCTAAGATTTGAAAATGAAACACAAGATTCCTTATAAGATTATCTACCTTTATCAATAAAAAAATCTCTACCGGACAGTTAAATTAAATTTTTATGAGCGTTTGAAATTCAAATTTTTACAACATTGGATTTTTACTCGATTTCTCATGTAGCGATTTCCTTATTTTGTTGTAATTCAAAAACGAATAACTGTAGATACATGAAAATTTCACTGAATGTTTAAATTAGCATTTTCTATACACCATACAATTTTGAAAATATTTTGACTCTTTTTGAGCTGTTTATGGACATTTACAGCTTTCAATTTTTTTTAGTTTTTTTTCCTATAAATATCAATAAAGTTTTATCTGTTGGGCCAAAAAGTGTAAAAATTTAATACAAGGCTCCTGATATATTGTTACAATATCAGATGAAAAATATTAAAAATACATAGGCACGATTTTTTTTTATAAGCATTTAAAGTTGGAATTTTGACAAAATTTATCAAAATCTCGAAAATTATCAATCGTTGGAATTAAAAAATTATAAAATGTTCAGTTTTTATAACTAAGAGTTAAAAATTTAAAACAAAGATTCTCTTAAATAATTCATACTGTAACCAAAAAATCTAAAAAATATATAAACACACTTATTTTTTGCAGACATTTTAATTTCAAATTTAGACAAAACTTCATATTTACCTAAACCAAGAATTACGATTATAGTTATTTTGTTGTGATTGTATAATATTATTCGTGGGTACTTGAAATTTCTAAAGTAATCTACTATATATATCTATGATAGTATCAGGGTTTGTTGTTGGTGTATAACGCGTTATAAGTACCTAATGGATATTGTGATATGATTAATTTGGAATTCATTATAGGTCAATTTTTTTTAATACCATAGATATGTATATAATATGTCTTTTACCTAGAAGGACATACCGTCTCCGCTCAGAATCGTTTTTCTTATACAATGATATTATATCATTGAATTCAAATTTAATACCATCCATTATACAATGACCCACTTGTAACCTACTGTACAGCAGAGCGACACCCACTTGCCCACCTTTTTATTTATATTTTTATTTATATTTTTGTGTCTGTCATCACGTTTTGGGACAGTAAAAGTGCTTCGATTTTCTTCAATAGTACCTTTTCTGATAGGAAAGTGAATCTAGTTGGTACTTTGGGGGGTCAAAAGTAAACATTTTCCAGTAGTTTTCACAAGCGCCGGGAAAAACAACATAAAAATTAAGGAAAAACGGGAATTTTTACGCAAAATCGATTTTCTAAAAAATCGAATTTGGTTTTTGGTGTAACTTTAAAACAAATGACCGTAGATACATGAAATTTTCACTGGTTGTTTATATTTGCATTTTCTATACACGATAACATTTTCAAAATATTTTGATTTATTTTGATCTGTTTAGGGACAGTTTCATTTTTCATTTTTTTTTAGTTTTTTTTCTAGAAATATCAATAAAATTTTATTTGTTGGTTGCGAAAGCTTGAAAATTTAATAGAAGGCTCCTAATATATTGCTTCAAAGGTAGATGAAAAATATTAAAAATCCTTAGTCACAATTTTTTTTTATAAGCATTTAAAGTTCAAAAATTGACAAAATATGGGAAAATCACGAAAATTAGCAAATTATTTTGAGTTAAGAATTCGTAAAAATTTTTTTTTTTAAATCTAAGATTTGAAAATTAAACACAAGATTCCTTATAAGTTTGTCTACCTTTATCAAAAGAAAAATGTTTATAAGAAAGTCAAATTAAATTTTTATGAGCGTTTGAAATTCAAATTTTTACAACATTGAATATTCACTCGATTTCCCATGTAGCGATTTCCTTATTTTGTTGTAATTCAAAAACAAATAACTGTAGATACATGAAAATTTCACTGAATGTTTAAATTAGCATTTTCTATACACCATACAATTTTGAAAATATTTTGACTCTTTTTGAGCTGTTTATGGACATTTACAGCTTTCAATTTTTTTTAGTTTTTTTTTCTATAAATATCAATAAAGTTTTATCTGTTGGCCCAAAAAGTGGAAAAATTTAATACAAGGCTCCTGATATATTGTTACAATAGCAGTTGAAAAATATTAAAAATACATAGGCACAGTTTTTTTTTATAAGCATTTAAAGATCAAATTTTGACAAAATTTATCAAAATCTCGAAAATTATCAATCATTGTAATTAATAAATTATAAAATGTTCAGTTTTTATAGCTAAGGATTGCAAATTTTAAACAAAGGTTCTCATAAATAGTTCATACTGTAACCAAAAAATCTAAAAAATATATGAACACAGTTATTTTTTATAGACATTTTAAATTCAAATTTGGACGAAATTACATATTAAAAAAACCTAGAATAACTATTATAGTTATTTTGTTGTGATTGAATAATATTATTCGTGGGTACTTGAAACTTCTAAAGTGTACTATACAGAGTGATTTTTTTAAAGAAGAACACTCATTATTTCAAAAAGTATTAATGTTTAAGAAAATATTTTTTTACATAGTTTCAAGTTGTTAAAAAACAATATTTTTATTAAAAA